TGCTCACCTTCCTGTTATTAAGCTTGGTTCAACAAATTCTTTCGAGGTTGATAATGTATATAAGTTGCATTTTGCAGTGTTTCCTTTTGCAAATTCACTTCCAGTCTCCATTATTAATCGAATATCATCAATGTCATGATACAGATAAATATTCCTAATGATATGTGGAGATATGAAGCAAAAAACGGGAAGTACTATCCTCCTATTCGCACGTTTTACGTGATTTGTACATTTTGCTTTGTCCTTTTTTCTATAGGAAAAGCAGTATGGCTCGCTCAAATTTTATGTTTCCCGATATATTTGTTCTTTTTTCCCTGAAAACATGAAATTATCCCCTGTTACGAACTGCCCTGATCAGCTCTATTACGGTTGCTGGAATAGCTGTTAGGTTTATATCTTGAGCGAACTATTGAAGATGTAGCAGCTGATAGAAGCGATCAAGCATGAGATCATTCACAATACTCTCCTCAACAGCGAGCAGTCGGTGAAGAAAGCAATGAATATGTTCACTGATCTGTATGAAGGATGTCCGATTTTATCGTCGAAATAATGCTATTGAGAAATCACAATAAAGCTAAGGAGAGTGAGCCAACCAGTGAATGCACTAGAAAAATCTCTGAAGGTGATCTTGCCCATGACAGATGAAGAAAGAGGAACTCTCACAGTCTTTAAACAAACAATCACGCTTCCCTCTTGAAACGACACCAAGGTCGACCCAGGGAGAAATAGGAACTTATAAGTAACATAAGTAAAAAAACAACTATGCACGTTTACAGAAGGATTGCGATGTATAGGATCAAACAATTCGAAGTTATCCATATTTTGAACATTTGACAAGTGAATTGTTGCCCTATGAAGAGAATTCTTAATCTCAAAGGGGCTTCCTTGCCATAGTAAAGAGATTTGCTCTAATTCATGGTGAAGCCGTGGACTACAGCAAATGTTTTTTGATCCATCTCAACAGAAAGGTACTGAAGCGAGGCTGCGTACGCGAAGAGCTCTAATGGGGTCACGCGTGAATCGCGCGCCCCCCGCTGATGACACTAGGTGTGAATCTCAATTGGGATGGGAATGCGCCATTGATTCATTGAGTTGTTAGGAGCGACCCGCTAGTAATGTGTCGGCTGTGGCATTTGCTAGTACTACAGCGAAAAAGACAGCCGTCAAAACTAAGGACGAATAACTCCTGGCAGAATAAAACCGATCGCAACTAAAGATACAGGGGACCTTCCGGTGCGTGTCGCGTGCACGGCTCTTGGCCCATTGCCGAGCGTGTTGCGAAAAGGCAGAAAGCATGTTCTGACATGATCCCAAAAAGCTAACACATGTTGCTTGTTTTTGTTCAAAAGGAAACATGTTCTTGGTCTACTCAACAGCTGGTGTAAAAAAAGTTTCACTTTATACCACGGTTAAAAAATACCCTTTCACGGCATGAGTACAACAAATACCCTATGCCCTACCAAGAGGATAACACTCGATTGCTGAAGTTATCTATAAGAGTAAATGGCTCAAGAACAGAAATAAGCTCCTAAGCGAGTTAGCTCCATAACAGCATCAACAAAACACAAAGGAATAACAGGTAGACGCTCAGAACCCAGAATAAAGTGTTACCCACGTATTATTAAAGCGAAAAACAGTGAAATGTGCTTAATAGAGGAGTATCGACCATTCCCGGGCTACGCGACGCGCCTAAGAGTGCTCTATATTTTTAGACGAAAAACTCCAATCATTCTAAGAAAGACGTTTGTCTAGCGGTCCTGATCTAGTGATCGGGCCGAGCTTAGCTCCAATAGCTCTCAGCTCTTAGTTTCAATATTTTTAACGGCGACAGCAATCAATCTGAACTGGCTGTCACCTAGTTCTGATAAAATTCATGAACTGCTGCTAGGCAATTCCGTTGATCAGACATTGAAAGCACAGTTCACGATAATTTGGGTTATATTTTTAGAGAGTAATGGAAGTGATAGTCCAGAAAGGAGCAAAAGTATATGCGAAAATTGGCATACGTATTGTTAGGGAAATATAAGGTCTTAGAAAAAAGCAAAAAAAGAAATTGGACGAGAATTTTGTGAGGAAAGCTGCATGGAAGGGGTACTCGGAGGAACGCATGTTTGAGCACGCGCACCATTGCATACAGCTGGCTGCAATACGCTGCCTGCCTGTGCCTGCAATGTGTGGGTCTCGATGCGAATGGTGCAACTTTCACAGCCTTTACAACGCTTAACAACTCGCACGTTTTGGGTGTGCACGTCGGCTAAGCCGCTTTGGGCCCCTATTACGCTCTATCTCGACTGTTTTTCGACTTGACAGCGTCTCTTTAGCTATACTTGGAAGTGACAGATTCATCCTAGGGAAAAATCTTATGGACTATTCTCAAACTGAACTGTGCCTTTAAGTTCGAAGCATGTATCGTGTTGAAGAATCGCAGAAACAACGAAGGATTTCGCAAGTGTTGAAGTTCCCAAACGACGTGGAACGCGTCTTATCTGTGGACTCTCCAGCACGGCATACTCTGGATGTTGTCCTGCAAAGGCCGATCTTTTTCGTACATTGGTGCGGAAATCGTAGCGCCAGGCTTTATGTATCTTTATGTATGTATGAACCACCATTCCTCCACTCCCCTTTCTTCTGTACAGCTAGTACTAAAAAGTAGAGGACTGCAGGTTCTGATGCTATGACCCCCAAGCCCATAACCCAGTAAGGATGGAAAACTTTGTCGTCTTTGAGTTCTTTTGACTTTTGTTTCTTTCTTTTCTATTTGTTTTTGATTGCTGGTCAGTGCAGTTGCCGCATAACAGCGCAATCGGAACCGATGTTTTTTCTTAACACTCTTCAACAGTTTTATGTTTGTCCGATGTTTACAACAACACAACACAAACAATTTATGGACCTAATCAAACTTGTATCCAGGCCTTGCTTTACGGCACAATACTATTGTGTTCGCTGCACATGCCGGTCCGATAAGCATGTTTTCTTTGCCACCGTATCCGGCTGAGGACTTTTCGTTCCTNTTTTTTTTCTTGTGATTGCTGGTCAGTGCATTTGCCGCATAACAGCGCAACCAAAACCGATGTTTTTTCTTCATACTCTTCAACAGTTTTATGTTTGTCCGATGTTTACAACAACACAACACAAACAATTTATGGACCTAATCAAACTTGTATCCAGGCCTTGCTTTACGGCACAATACTATTGTGTTAGCTGCACATGCCGGTCCGATAAGCATGTTTTCCTTGCCACCGTATCCGGCTGAAGACTTTTCGTTCCTGACGTCAACCTTCCCGAGAATCTGCTTCCCGTCAATTGTGATTACACCAGAGGAAATGTCTCCTTTAGTGTTGTTTACATGTACTGGAATCCATTTCCTGTCTTTTTCGAATGTCGCCGCCTACAAAAATTCATTAGCTATGATCATTAGCATTGGTTTGGAAAAAGTGACCCACCTCCGGATATGGCAACCATTTATAGTCGAAACCTCTGACGTGTTCGGAGAGGTGCACAAGCAGTTGAATTGATCCAACATTTCCTTTGTACTCGTTCTTGTTCCAACAGAAGTTGGCGGCAACCTGGAAACACTCTTCATATGCTTTTCATTCTATGGGCCAAGTTTTTCCGACCGTGGTAGTTTACCTTGCCATTTTCATTCCAAACACGTCCCATGACAGGCTCTCCAGCCTGGTACCACAAAGCAACGTATTGGTCAGGATTTTCACCAGGGATTGTATCAAGAGTCTTGTCAAGTGCTTTCACAAGAAGACGGTTTGGCCATGGATCACCAGCACGGATATCAATCCATTCATCAAGCATAACCCTGCATTATGTTTCAGTGAATCGCCATTAGTTCCAATGTTTCCTATAGTCACTTACCTTGGAGGAGGAGGGCCTGGTCTCTTGGGTTTGCCTCCTTTACCACATGTACATTTACATGTACATCCACTTCCCCCTGGCTTATAGGCAAAACCACAGGAGCACTTATGTGTTTCGTGACCTGCTGTAAATGCATCCGCAGCACCACACGAACACTTATGTCCCTCGTGGCCTCCTGCCCCACATGAACACTTATGCAATTCGTGATCTGGGGAGAATGCATTAGCTCCCGAATTACAGGAACACTTATGTGATTCATGACCCAGTAAGTTACACGAACACTTATGTGCTTCATGGCCTTGTGAACATGCAAGGGCGTCAGCACCACACGAACATATATGGGACTGATGTCCAGGAACGGAACCACATGTACACTTGTGTGATTCATGCCCTGATGAGAATGCATCGCCTGATCCACATGAACATTTATGCCCTTCATGACCTGGGGCACACACTTTACCAGCATCACAAGAGCATACACAAGTGCAATCACCAGGTTTCGGTGGTGGAGGAGGTGGCGGTTCTTTTGGACATTTACCGCATTCACAGAAAGGCGGTCCGCCAACAGTATTTCGCATTATAATGTACATATCATTGAGTTGTGGTCCTGATCGCTCATATACTTTTCCTTCGAAGGAGAACAGCGCTATTTCGGTTTTGTTGTCGACATAACCGAGAAGCGCACCCTGCAACATTTAGAGTATAAGTGTTCTTCAACCTTNTGACACCAGAAGAGCTACGAATTCAATAGCGATAATCGACTGGTCTTGATTGAAGGAAAGGGAAGCGGATGTGACTACTCGCACTAGCTTGTGGATGCTTATGCCTGTCACAATCCCCTGAATAGCTTTGGATAGTTGACGACATAGCTTCTCGAACAGGCCATTTTGAAAACTGAGAAGCAGTTGTGTGAGAGCTGGTACTAGGACACCATACCCTTGTATAGACGAAGAAATGCAACCTCGATCATGTGCTTAACTTGAAAATTAGCGTCGTAAAACTAGAAATTCCTCCTTTTCAACCTTATCACACATTGGCCATGTTGGTGCTGCTATGTCCCTTCTCTAGCGGAGTCGCTAGCTACCCCTGTTTATGGTTTACTAGTATGTCTTAAGCTATGAACAGATCTTTTTGGTGTTGTTTGACCTTATCGTCATGAGGCTCCTGCCTGTTCGGTTGTCTACGTGCTTCATTGTATCGAAGGAAGGGATAGGTGTGCGAAGCCGAATGATAAGCCTCACTTATCATCAGTGGTGGTTATCTCTAATTAGAAGTAAAGTAAGGATCAGTTGGATAATCCTGGACTCGTGAAACGTGAAGTCCTCTGCCAAATCGATTGCCCATCACTACGCATCTATTCCGCCGCGTTGATGATTACATTGTAGTAAAGTGTCGTATATCACGAAACGATCCACTTTGAGTCAAGCCCCCCTTTCCCGTTTGAGCCTATTGCCCACCTTTGAATGATTTGTTATAGAATCGGAATGGAAGCTAAGTTCGAAACGTTCGACTGCATACCCTCCCTTCATTNCAGCTGGCCCCATTCCCACCCTCTTTCCTCTTCAAAAACAAAACTTACCTCGGGGCGGTCCTTCCACAATATGGGAAAGGAGTCTCCACAGTGTACAAGTTGGCGACCTTCTGCTTTCTCAAGTCTTTCCCTATATTTAATCCATTCATACCAGAATCCTTGAGTATTATGATCACCCGTGTATTGAAGCACCTTAATAACTAGTTTTAGGAACGAATAGCTCCTCAGATATCGTGCTACATTCTGTGAACCTGGATATTTCCTTCAAGCTGTTGAGCTGTTCTCAATTCAGCTTTCTTGTACGGGAACGAACATTCGACAACTCCTCCGTTGTTCCATGATCGCCCGTGAATTGGCTTTCCGTGCTTGTACCACAGAGCGACGTACATATTTTGTTGTCCAAGACACTGCAATAGGGATTCTTTGAATACCTGGGTTGGTTTGGAACGAAGTTCAAAGGCACGTACTTTCACAGGATTCGGAGGAAATGCAGTACCAATTTTCTGAAACGCCCATGTGTCTTCCTTAGCAGGAGGATTTTTCACGGCCATGATGAAAGCGACGTAGGAAGCTAACTGAATGCGAATCTACTCGAATTCGTGCTTATATACCATGCCTTTCCTTGAGATTGCATTATACTAATGCATTTTAGAAGAAAAGCTTTCAAAGGACGGTCTTATCAATCGTTGTTTACCTGTGGGTTCTCTACTCACTGAGCTGATCCGTCTGTTGCGCCATTCGGGTATCCCGTGCAATACCGCTTCTACCCGAGGAGCTATTCTTTGTCGTAATCGATCCGAAAAGGATAGGGTCTACTGGCTCAGCGCTCACCCGAGAGCCCAACCAGCACATGTAACTTTTACGAATGCAGACAAGGGTTGCTGGCAAGTCGACTATCGACGGGGTGTCAGGTGGTACTGCGCAGCCCGACCAGCTCCCATAAGAGCTCCCATTCAGATTGGCCTGTTTCTGTCTCCTATATCAACGTGTAGTGATTCCTAAATGGAACCAGAACAGGAGAAGGGAAAATGCACACGCACATGGAGGTGTACGCATGTACATCTACCATGTATTCAAGTATGTGTAATCCGCACCCTATCACTGTCGTCCCGTTAATCATCGATTTCCCCGAGCGGGCGTCAGTAACGTCTTTGTCGTCCCTGTCGCGAATCATAGTAGTCCAGTTAATCGTACTCGTTCGAGGGACACGGGGCAAAACGTTCAGAGCTTTCGTGAAGAAGTATGTTAATCGCGCTGGTGGTCGCCCTGGTGCTCTTTCGACGTCCAGAAGGATCCAGTCTGTAACCGCCCTGGCCCGTCGGGCATCACTATATTGCTTAACGTGCCCGGCTCACCTTTTGCGTTTCTTAGCGTACTTAACGACACCTCTGATCTTCGTTGTTGATGGAGCTCGGGACTCCGGATTTCCTCCTGCACTTCCCTGTATAGGGAAATCGAAAGCATGAACTTGAACTTGAACTGTCCTTTCCACAGCGCATTAAAGGACAGTTCACGATAAAAGCGGTTTTTGATATTTCTCCATAGGATACCATACCTGGCGCTATTAGTCCGGTAAACGGCCTAGTCAGGGCGTTTCAAAAGCTCAAAGATTGTATATCGTCGGACGAGTTTCACTGGCATTGTAGAGGCTGCTGCTATCACGATAGAGCCCATGTGACAGTTCTGTACATTCTGGCGTAATGGCAGTCAGCTTTTGCGCAATTGCAACAAAAATTGAATCGCAATTGAAATTTCGTCCAAATACCTCTTCCATTTTATTTTCGTCATGATGAGTTTGTCCAACCCCTATTTTCCCTATTTTTGAAAGCCATACTTTTCTTAATGGAGAATTCCCTCGCTTTCTCCACTACCGACGAACTAATCTCAACCTATACTTCCGCTTTTACAATTAAAACGAAAACCTCAAATTATCGTGAACTATGCCTTTAAGCGACG